AATAAGAGCCAAGTGAGCCTGGGGGGTGGGGACAGGTAGGACAAATCACTTGCTACTCCCCTCAGCTGCCCCCACCCCCTTGCCACCCCTTCAGCTCATCCCCTTTCCAAGGTGTTGGCTCCTCCTCCACTCTTCTTTGGTCCTATGGCTTCCAGAGGCCTCACCTGGCTCTCTGATGCAACCACCCCACAGACCCTTTCTTCAAAAGCTCATCTGGCTGGTCACCACCCTCTCCTCACCTCCAACTCCTCCCCAGTCCCACCACCCCAGCCTTTTCTAGATTTTTCCAGCTGCTCCTTGAGAGATGTTGCTTTGACTTTAGTGGAGGGATCCTTGTAGTCCAACCAGGTACAAAGAGAAAGGCATCGGTCGCCCCAAGCTCAGAGCCTAAGGGGGAAGAATGTGTGTGTGTGTGGGGTGGGGGGTGTTGGCAGCCCCTGGGGCAGCCCTTGGAGTCAGGAGGTGTAATCAGCTCTTTAGACAATCTCAGGAAGGACCCAGACACCTATGAGACTATCAGGAATCACCTTCTTCTGGCAAAGGACAAAGGGGACTCTGGAATCTCCTTCCTGTCCCAGACACAGTGACCCTCGCACACTTGAGGCCCCTTCCCCTTGCTACCATGGGTGTGATTAATGGTTGTGCAGAGGGGCGTCAGTCACCCTGGTGCTAAGGAAGTTTAAGCTTTATAGCCCCAGACTTGCAGACAGTCCACAGGATCTGATCTTTAGGCTTTACATCTGGGAACGCCTGCAGCTGCCACAGATCAGGCGAAAGGAAGCTCTTGGAGCTGAAGGTTAAGGGCCCCAGGTAAGCAGGGCAAGTACACCTGCTTATTCGGTGAGGGTGTTTTTTCCATGGAGGCTCAAGGGCACCTGCACGACTTTCTTAGTCCAATCGTCCTGCTTCCCACAATCACCAGTGGATTCTCAGCCCTATGACTCCGGTACCCCGTGCCACCCAGCTTTTCGCCATCACCTGGCTTTTCACACAGCTCAGGGCCAGCAGGTCCCAGCTCCCTGCCAGCGTCACCTTTCCTGGGATCCCCACCCTGTCCTGCAAGGCTTGCCTGCTCGGTATCTGCCCATTCGGAAGTGATGAGGCCGCCCCTCTGCCCAGCACCCAGAGTCCAGGTCCCCTGCGCCCCCCCCTCCCCGACATCAGGGGTCAATGCACCCTGCTCTCCAGAGCCGGAGCTGCCTTCCCTGCGGAACGGACAGACCACAGCCGTCTGCGCTGGCGACCCCTTCGCCC